ACTATACTAAACTATACTAAAGAATACAGAAGGGATACTTACTGAATGCTAAGAAGATAATAATGAAACTGGTGACTCTCCCAGAGTCCCGACACAGCTTGGCACTGACTGGTCAATGAGTCAAAACAGCTCACACCAGAATCCAATGAAACAATCACCTGTGGGTAAACAATCTCCAAACACATTCCAAAGGAGCAAAACAGAGGAGAAGCCAATGAGATAGGAATTGTTTTCCTTTTCTCTGAGGCTTCTCAGCTTCCCAGGAGAAAAATCCTGGGAATGTGAATGCCGCAACCTCCAGTGCCAGCTCCCAGGCCAGCCCAGGACATCACCCCTCTGCAGCTGAGTCAGGGCCTCCCAGAGCAGTGCCAGTGTTTGTTTCAGAGCAGTGCCAGTGTTTGTTTCAGAGCAGTGTCCGTGTTTCAGGCAGTGTCCGTGTTTCAGGCAGTGTCAGTGTTTCAGGCAGTGTCAGTGTTTCTGCCCCACAGCTCTCTCTGGAGGAGCACACATCAGTGCTCTTGCTCCTGACAACAAGGGGCACAGTGTTTTCCTTGAAAGTGTATTTAGCCCAGGCAAAATGACACCTTTTCCATGGGGTGGGCAGGGGAAAAGATGATCATTTGAGGCTTTCTGCAGTGACTCACACTGTTAAGCAAACCTTGAGGTGTTACGATGGTAAGAGAGCAGTCTCCAAGGCTGCAGACTAATGTCCATGAGAATTGACCTGGATTTGATATTTTCTTCCTTCATGTAGCTGAAGAATGAATTTGATGAATCTGCCATGTGTGCTAGCTTTGGTGCGTGGAAGTTATTATTAATTCCTTGGTGTGATAAGATCAACGTGCCCTCAATTTAGGGAAACAATTATATTTAGTGTAGGAAACAACCAAAAATCACACTGAAAAAAAAGTATTTATAGAGGGTTTGCTGTGAGCTGGTATTGCTGGAGATCTTGGGGCAGGTAAAAGTCTTTACAATTAGTTTTTAAATGTGATTTGTTCTTGCAAAATGATGCCTTGTGTCGTGCAAGACAGAAGACATATGTTAAACTTTAGTTAGTGATTCAACACACTTCAGTTCATCTGTAGCAATTATCCCAAAAGGACTTTGCATTTAATGACTTACATACCTGTTTGAAATCAGTCTGGGTAATGAATGTATTTTTTTTTTTTCTGGAGATGAAATCCAGGCACCTGAGGGAAAGATCTTTCAGGCAGGACTCATACAGCTCAGAGTTGGGCATTCCCAGCAGAGCACCTGCCACTTTTGAAACAAACCTAGAAGCATCCTCTGCAGGGAGGTGGGACTCCAAAAAGTCCAGGAAAATGAAGGAAGTGAAGTTACAGCATCTGGAATAGTCTGTGCTCACACCTCTCACACTCTGAGCTGTACAAAGGGAGGCTGTGCTCGAGAGCTTCCCCCAGAAACCGGGAGGCAAATTCCAGCAGTAGCAGGAAGTAACGCTGGTTATAATAAAGCAAAGGAACAGCAAATTATGGCCACAATTTCAAGGCAGATCTCAAAGCTGTGATTTGTCAGAAAAACATCATTTTCCTCTTTTAAAAAATCCTTTTATTCTCCTATTTCCTCCACCAGCCCAGCTTTGGTGGTACTTCCACAGCACTGGAAATCCTAATGCTTTATGAACCTAATTAGATGTTTTCTCCACTGAAGTTCAGCATTTGGAAAGATCAGAAAGCTGTCCCAGATCATTGTCTTCTCTTGTGCCATGGGATTTTTGGCACAAAATTTCCTTTCCACTGTCCCACTTCCGTTTATTGCCAGCACATTTTCTCATTTTCAGGTCTGATATTTTTTTTGTGAAAAGAGCAAACCTGACTGTACCTGAAGTGACCACTCCAAAGCTGTCACAGTGCCAGAGAATTTATAAACACTCCTGAATAAAATTGTAAAAGATTTTTTTTCATAGCTTTTAACAAATAACTTTTAGTCTGTTCGACACATAAAATATCCTCCTGGTATTCTCTCGTGGGTTTTTTGGTGGGGATGCCACCAACTGTGTATTTTTTATCATACTTCTGTATCATAGTAAAAGATTAAAGATTCATATAGAGCTTTTTTTCCCTTCAAGGTTAAAAAATGTCTTCAGAAAGTAGTTCTCTGCATAATATACATTTAGACAGTATTGCTGAAGTGAATATTGTAGGATTCCCTTTTTTTAGATTCTTTTTCTTTCACTTGGAAAGTTTCATTTATTGAAAAGATATACTATATATGTGTGTGTATATATATATATAAAATATTATATATATAATTTTTATATATTTTATAGATATATGTTTGTATATATAAATTTTCTTTATGTATAAATAAATAAATTCTTTTATACTTCTGGCACCCACATTTAAAGCTTGTTGATAGGGTATCAGGAAAATCAAACAGGTTTCCCCTGGGTATTCCCAAGAGGATTTACATTTCTGCAGACCATGGCCTCTGCAGAGGATTTTGTAGGTGCCAACCAACCCTACAGGGGCTGGTTCTGGCTTTTAGGTAACACAGGTGGGAGGCAGCCCCAAGAAGATTGTTTGACAGAGGTGAAGCAAACTGCAGTGATCCACAGGCAGCTCTTTCTGGAATTTCTGCACTCTTTCTGGACAGAAAAGAAAAGAAAACCAGCTGTGGTATTGCTGAGCAGCAATGCAGGGTGTTGGTGATTACACATCTTCCTGGTTCTTGAGAGTGTGAGGTTAGGATGAATAAAATAAAATCTTGCTAAAGTGATGCTAAATAATAGCACAAAATTGGAATGAATGGAAATGAATGATGAATGAATAGAATAAACAGTGAAATGTCCTAAAGCTTTAGCCTATAGGTTTAAAAAAATGCTTGAAATTAGAGACAGCAAAATATGACCAAAGTGGCGTAGTTAAGGATTTGGTTGTGTAACTCTTTCAATGAAGGATGTTTTTGCACACCTTACCATCCATCCCTGCCATCATTAACTAGAAACAGGAGGCTAAAGCCTTGGTACAGCTCATCTCTTTTGATTTTCACAAGACAAATTCTGTATTTTCATTTTGACCAAAAGCAATCTGCAACATTTTCATATTTTTTCAGTGCTGATAGGTACAAGTTAATCTATTAAAGAGTATAATTTTATTTGCGCCTGATACATTCTGATGCCAGCAGAATTCCCTCAGCAGCTGGTATCATGGTGTGATTCTTGTGTGATTCACAATTGTTCAGCCCATGAGATTTATTTGTCTTTTTTTTTTCTAGTGCTTTTAATTTGATGTCAAAAAACATTGATGTCAAAAACCATTATTCTTTTAAAGACTTACAATTCTGATGGTCAAAAGCCAAAAATATTGATTTGCACTTGGCAGGAGGGTGTGTTTGCTTCAAGTAGCAGTGCTTCTAAAGAATAACTTCAGCTGCTTTATGCCAAAGAGTCCCTGTGTCCTCTTTAACAGCCCTTCATGTTGGCTGCATGAAATACTGTTTATGCCAAACATTCTCCCACGTATTTTCAAAGCTTTTACTGGTGTTTGCATTGAAATCTTTCACCTAAAACCAGTTTAGGGCTCCATTTGATCCTTTTTTGCATTGACATACACTTTGATAGAATCCTAGAGGTGGAAGGGACCTTAAAGGCCATCCAGTTCCACCCCCTGCCATGGGCAGGGACACCTTCCACTATCCCAGGCTGCTCCAAGCATGTTTTGGTGTTTTCTGCTCCAAGCCCCATCCAGCCTGGCCTTGGGCACTTCCAGGGATGGGGCAGCCCCAGCTTCCCTGGGCACCCTGTGCAGGGCTGGGTCCAGAGACCATGGTCAGGTACCTGTGAGCTCCTCAGGCTGTGCAGGGATAATCAAATCTGGCCCATGGCACTGAGTAATCTGGTTATTTTAATCACTACATGTGACTCTCTGAATTATCATCTGTATTATGAGATAATATGATCTCTTTGGTATTCAGCAATGACTTTTTAAAAATTATCATATATATTATACAGAGCTAATATATTAAGAGATACCTTAAAGGCAATTGTCAAGTGTGTGATTTCATCTCTAAGTTCTAATAATGGTGGTTAATGTCATAAATGCCTTTTAATGCAATTATAGGCTTGTAACCCTGCCCAACTATCCTTTGTGCGTTATATAATTAATAAGACCAAGCTTTGGTGTTGATCTCAGTGTCACAAAGCATGGTGCAAATTTCCATACTGCTGGTGGATGGTTAGAGTCCCATGGTGCAAATTTCCATACTGCTGGTGGATGGTTAGAGTCCCATCAGAATGAGAATAAGGTTAAGGCCAGGCAGTTTGAGTATATGTTACCTTATCTTTAAAGGCAGCTGGATGGGCTTGTTAACAGAATATACTTCTAACAGAATATATATGCTCATAAAAAAGGGCCATTGATCTAATGCCTTATTATAATACTACAGGCAATATTTTAAGGGAGTGAAAAGGTGAGGGAGTTGGAGCACTTGGAATAAAGAATTGTTTTCCTTCTAATCCACTGAGGATAGTGAAAATTTGTGACCAACTTAAAAACCATTTGAAGATGGACAAAAATCTTTGTCTTGAATTAAAGACACTTGTCTGGAATGTGACAGAGCTGGGATTGTTCCCCAGTGTGGTTTAATTTCTGGGGGGCTTGGGCTAAATTGATTATTTTTTATGGTCATCACATTTCCTGTCTGAAGAACAAGGGCCATAATATTTCTTTTCTTTGTCTCACATTTCCAGATTTTAAGCTTGCTGAAGCAAAAGAGCTATCTATGTGTTATTTTGTTGGGTTTTTTCTCTTTGGTAATTGAATCTTACAGAATCATTCATACAGGACTAACTCAAGGTCATCTAATCCTGCCTCCTGTTCAGAGCAAGAGCAATGTTGAACTTCTCCCCTCTAGGCCATTTTCTCATTGGAAATACTCATCATTGAACCAGCCATTTTACATGTCACCAGTGAAAGTTAGCTCTCCAAAACCATGTAAGACTAATTAGCATTATTGTACTGTTCTTCTTCCTCCAGGGAATGATGTACCTGGAAGAGAGGAGACTCGTCCACCGAGACCTGGCAGCCCGTAATGTGCTGGTGAAATCACCAAACCACGTGAAAATCACTGACTTTGGCTTGGCCAGGCTTCTGGAAGGGGATGAAAAGGAGTACAATGCTGATGGGGGCAAGGTGAGCACTGAACATGTCTGGAGGTAAATCTGCCATGCTGTGACAAAGCTCCTGAAGTTCCTCCTTAGGTCAGTTATTGTATCTGCAGGGTGCCCTGATGGAGGAAGGAAGGATGAATCTCACTCCATGTTCTCAGAAGGCTAATTTATTATTTTATGATACTATATTATATTAAAGAACACTATACTAAACTCTACTAAAGAATACAGAAAGGATACTTACTGAATGCTAAAAAGATAACAATGAAAACTCGTGACTCTCTCCAGAGTCCCGACACAGCTTGGCACTGATTGGCCAATGAGTCAAAACAGCTCACAGCAGAATCCAATGAAACAATCACCTGTGGGTAAACAATCTCCAAACACATTCCAAAGGAGCAAAACAGAGGAGCAGCCAATGAGATAAGAATTGTTTTCCTTTTCTCTGAGGCTTCTCAGCTTCCCAGGAGAAAAGTCCTGGGCAAAGGGATTTTTCAGAAAATATGAATGTGACAGTCGGTCCCTGTGGGACTGTTGTCTGTGTAATAGAGTCTGTCAGTGACTGAGCAAAGCCCTGCCTTGCAGAAGGACTCTGTTGTGAAAGCACAGACAAAAGCTGCTTGTTTTCTGCACAGTGAGCTTCTCCAGGCACTGAAAAATAATAGCACAAGCAGTTTTCACACTCAGAATTAGCTTTTTTTTTTCACGTGCTCGAGGTGTGTCTTGTTTTGAATACTTTGGTTCAATGAGTGATAGATGTTCTGGGGCATTCCTGCCCCACCTCTTTCCCTGGCCAGTATCCAACCTCAATAACATGCAGTCCCATTTTTCCAGACAAGTAATTTTTGTGAAGACAAAAGGGAAGGCCACAGAACATGAGAATTTACCTCTTCTATCACATTGGAAGAGCCTGTGTAGTTATGTCTTGTGTTCACCTCTCCAATACCATGCTGAATGCCAGGTCACTAAAAGCCAACCTGAGGATAATCTTTTCCCCTATTACTTTCCAGCAAACCACACCATTGCCATGTAGTGCCTTACCTCATTTCTGCCAATTTCAGATTAATGCATCGTAAAATTCAGAAGGCAGTAAGTAGGTGGTGCTTCTGGCTGCTCCCTAAACATCTTGAAATTCCCCATTTCAATCTGTCACAGAATCCCAAAGGATTTGCTTCACCTGTCATTCCTTTTCCTGGATGTTCAGTTTGCTTTCTGTCTCCTTGCTATTTGTGGTTTTTTGTGCTCACTCATGCCCTTGTCTGGGACAAACAGCTGTTGCCAGTGTGTGCTATTCTTTGGGATGAGCTGCTGCCTTGTTTGTGTGGCTGCTGCCCTTGGATCACCTGGCCAGGTCAGTCAGGGAGGTGAAGAGCATGAGAGGAGCCACCAGTGCTTTCCTATTTCCCCATGGGAAGATACCTCCTGGCAGGAAAGGTGGGGTTTTGACAGCTTCCCCTGTTCCCTCATTTCTGTAATCCCCATCTTGGTAACCCCTCAGCCTCTTCCCTCCATCTGACAGTGAATGACAGAAAAAAGAGTTGATCTTTGCAAACCAGCTGTTCCCTGGCAGCTGTGTTCTTGGACTTGTTACTGCTGAGAGCTCTGGAGCAGGATTTATGGCAGATGTATCACTTCCCAGGTCCAGAAAAGCACCCTATGAAATCAGTATTGAGAGCATGCTAGGGAGGTTCAGACTGGACAATCAAGTGGTTGTCAACAGAGGTGGTGCAGTTTCCATCCTTGAAGGTTTTCAAGTCCAGACTGGACAAATCTCGGAGCAATTCTAATCTCCTAGGTAGCTGAACCTGCTGAGAACCTGAGGTGGGACTAGAGGCCTCCTGAATCGCTTCCAACCTGAGTTATCCCATAATGAACAAGGCAGCTTTGCTCCTTCAGCTACTGTTCACATCTGGGATACAATGGGAATGAAAGCAGTGCACTTCTGCAGAGTTTAGTGGGGGAGGACGAACTGTCTTTGCAAGAGTTAAGGCAGCCTTTATTACAAGGTGCTATTTTTGCCTTAACTCTATAGGTTATGTTCATTAGTGAACTTCATGGAAGGTAGTTTCATAAGGGTTTGAAGGAAGACACATCCTCTGCTTTTACACCCACCATCTGTTCAGATTTTGCCTGCAGTTACTCATCCCTTTGGTTTATTCCAGTACCTCTTCTATAATTCCAAATTGGAGGCAACCCATACGAGTCCCTGCCAGGTAAAAAAATCTCCTAAATGCTTGTCCATGAGAAACTCACAGACTGCAAGGCTGTGAGGCCTTGTAAAACCTGACCTAGAACAGAGGCTAGATGAAGTTAAAGAATAAAGCAGGGATTTATTAGAAGGCCTCAGTGAATCCACCTTGGGCAGCACAAGAGCCCAGCCAGGGCTGCACCCAAGATGAACCAAAATGGTCACAAAATGGACAGCAGGTCACAGGGTCTCACACTTTTATAAGTTCTGGCCCATTTGCATATTGCAGTTAATTGTCCAATTACAGCTTTAGGTTATGAAGTCCCATCCTTCTTGTTTTTCTCTCTTCAGTCCATGTTGTTTATGCTCGTGGGCCTGAGATTTGGATCAGTTTTCCTTGGTCCCCAGCTAGAGAAGGAATTGTTTTGTCTCTCTGCTCTGTGAAGAGAGCTCACCATCCCCTAATATGAAGCTCAGACCCACACACTAAAGCAGTACAGAATCTGAAAAACATAAAAGCTAAAACCTGAGCCATCAGCTGTGCCTGCTGGGCCCAGCTCGGGAATGGGAAACACCATGAATCCCATTTTAACAGGAACTCAAGAGGATGGGCTGTAGTGCAGGAACGAGGTTTGGTTTGCCTGCACACCCTTCTCTGTCAGAAAAGATGATTCACTCACACAGGAATGAATGTGGGGCTGCTGACTTAGTTTGGGGAAAAACTTTCCCCACTGCTGTGCTGATACAGAGAGCTGAGGTGGCTCCTAGGATGGTTTCTAACAAGTATTGGGAGTTAACAATAAAGCACTGCAAATTCTCCCCATTGCCTGTTTGCCATCATCATGATGATGGTGGGGATGGTGAAGTGTTTTAGCCCCTGCCTTGTAACCTGGCCTCATTAGAGAGCAGTTGAGATAGAGTGTTGCTATCTCAGATTGCAGAGATTGCAAACTGTTAAGGAATAAAAGCTCCTGCATTCCACCTTCTCTGCTGCACTTCAGATTTAGGGGAGTTATATGCAATTTTTGAGTTGGTCCCTCTTTAAAAGGTTTGATGAAAACACAGGTTGTTCCATTACTTCTGTGTAAATATCACAAGTTCTGCAGGTAACTGGTTCATCTTTCTGACCTCCAAGTTTTATGAGGCACAGCCCCATTCTAGCAGGCAGAAACAACCATTTCCTCTGTTTTTTTTTTTCAATCTCGCCATTGAAGGAGGCAGGGAGAAAGTTGTTATCTTCACACAGGATCTGTTTGTATTGTTTTCATAATGTATTTCTAAGGTTACATTTCTCTTGTCCTTCCCTAGATGCCAATTAAGTGGATGGCTCTGGAGTGCATACACTACAGGAAATTTACCCATCAGAGTGATGTGTGGAGCTATGGTAAATCTGCACGTGATTAGTTTAAAAAGTTGTGTCTTTTAAAGCATTAAACCGAGTTGTGTTAGTATTGTTAAAGATATCCTCTTTTCTCAAAGGAGTTAATTCCAGAGGCATTTGATCTTCAGGTTTTGGGGCTTTTTTTTCCCTTTAAATGTGTAACTCTAAGCAGCAATTGTTACTGTCTCCTGTGTTACTTCCCTGCTCACTGAAATATATTATCATGATGTTCCCCGCTGGGGTGAGTGCCTCCAGGTCTGGTCTGGTAGCAGTTTGGCTGATTATTATGACAGAAGAAGACCTCTTTCAGCCTAGCCATGGATTCATAAAAATACAGCTGCAGGTCACAATTTTCAGCAGTCTTTGAAAAGCTCAGCTCTAAAAGCCATGAATGTCAAAAAACATTTTCAGGCTTATGGGACTTTCTCTACCTAGAGTCAGATAAAAGGGAATTTGTCATAATACAGAGCAAATATGGCAAGGGAAAGAAAAGGAAGAGACAAGCTCTCCAAACTAACTAGAACAAGCATCCATTTAATTTCACAGATAACTTGGGAATTGGTGAGCTACACACACAGAAAAAAAGTAATATTTGAGAAATGAGGTGTTCCTTCAGTGTTGCTAATGGCTATTCAGATGAGCTGTTTGCCACATCTGCTGAGGTCTCTGCCTGTTTATCAGGTACAGCTATTATTAATAAAATCATGTATACCTTTGTAAATGGAAATTTGCAGCAGTATTGGGGGCTATGGAGTCCTATTTCCATTTTGAACCAAAAGGGTGTACAGCTCTCTTCATTACTCACTTTTACCTGTGGGTAGCAGCAAAAGACACTGTTTGCTGTGGCTGGGTAGCTGCCCTCTTCTAGTCAGCTGAAAAGAGCCTGGGAGAGTTCCATTGGTCTTGTAAAGCTGCTCTTTCTCTTCAAATTCTGCATACCCTGGATCACTCAGGGAAAAAAATATGCCTTCATTTATGAAATTCATTTTATATGCAGGAAGCCCACAACATCTATAATCAGAAAGGAAAAGACCATAAACATTTGACAGTAGTTAACAATATTAACAATAGTTATTTAATATCAGCAAGGAGATGAATGAGGGTGAAATAAATGTGGTTTACTCATGTGGTAATTTTGCCCATCACTTTTCACATTAGCATGACAGTTGTCAAAATATGGTACTGATCTGAGGCATGCTTAAAATGACCTTTGCAATTCAAATAAAAGTTAAACAAAACAGTGTGAGAGCAGCATTTTCAATATTTAAGATTCTGTTCAGGCACAAATTCTTTTACTTATGATATATGATCTTTATTTCCAGCTCTGAAGCCAAAACAAATCCTATGGCTTTTCAAAAAGAGAATCTTGGGTCTGTAGTGCAGCACTATCATAAACTCAGAAGCATAACGTGATTTAAGGGAAGAAATGATAACAGTGGCTGTGAATGGCTTCCAAGGCAAAGCCAATGACCTCGTGCTACTCAGTGCTGTACTTTTGTGGGAAATTTGTGCTCTAATTTAGGGAACATCTGTGCTTTTTCCCCTTAAAATAATAGAGTGGATCAGGCACTCATTTCCCTTTTTGATAAAAGAGTGTGATTCATTCTTTTGGTATTGCACCCATTTACTTTACCGCCCTTCATTTGTCTCAGACCTTTCTCATGTGCCTCAGGTCTATCATGCCATTTCTCACACCAATAAAAATGAGGGAAGTTGCTGTTGAAGATTACCACAAAGTGCTGTTTCACCACTTTCCAGAGTTTTTAAGTGGCAGACTGTCATGGTTTAAGCCCAGATGGCAGCTAAGCACTGTGTAGCCACTTGCGCAACTCCTCCTGTCCCCCTGAAACAGGAGCCTCCTCCAGCCAGGTCTCAGAAGCTCTTGGAGATATGTTTCACACCCAAGATAGCTGAGCTATCTTAGAAGGCATAAAATCAGCAGGATAGCTCCTGTGGTAGTGTTGGAAACAAAAAAGTTTTATTAAAAGGCAAAATAACAAACTCTTTACAGAGAAAAACTGATCCAAGTGCAAGAGGCCCTTCTGCTCCTGGTAAAACACCTCACAAAAGCGATTAGTTTCTTTGTTCTCTTCTTTTTCTAGTAAATTGCCCAGGTGGGACTTGTTGGCTCCTGTCCAATTGGCTATCCTTAAGTTTGAGTTGAAATCCTCCAGGTCCTATGAGATGCCTTTTCACCTAATCAAGGAGAGAAACTTCTGGGCTTCTTTCCTTTTTAAGAGGACAAAAGATAGTTTTGTTACTTCATCAACAGGGGGCATATTCTTATATCCCCTCAGTCCAAACTTCAGTTTTCCAGGCACTGGTGTAGAAGAAAAGATTGCAGTCCAGAACTGGGCCAGGCACTGGTGAAGAAGAAAAGATTGCAGTCCAGAACTAGACTAGGCTACTCTGCTGTGAGGGAATCTCAGTGGTGTACCCCAAACACTGACACTCTTTCTTCTACCTAGGAGTGACCATCTGGGAGCTGATGACCTTTGGTGGGAAGCCGTACGATGGAATCCCAACTCGAGAGATCCCTGACCTCCTGGAGAAGGGAGAGCGCCTGCCCCAGCCCCCAATCTGCACAATTGATGTTTATATGGTGATGGTGAAGTGTAAGGAATTGTCACTTTTGATATCCCTGTGCTGCTTGCAGGAGGGACCCTGGTTTAGAACATTTGCATAGGTAGTCTCTGACAGAGCTGGGAAACAGGGCAAGCTGCTGCTGCAAAACAAAACTGCCCAAGATACTGTAAATTCTATTTAAACACTGTCTGCACATCTGCAGTTTTGCAATTGTTAGCTATGAAGGGCCGAGTTAGCTCAGCCTCTTATCACTGTCAGATGTTATCTCATATTCTTGCTGTGAAGTCAAAATTGTATGATTGTTATTGTAAACCCTTGTCATTTCCATGACAATTGATTCTGATGTAAAAAAGATAGTATTAAAAATAATTATGGCACATGGATACCCAGCCAGAGAAAGCTGTGAGGAGAAATCCCATTCCCAAATATTGAGGAAAGAAATCACGAAGGCTTTATTGTTAGTAGCAAGAATGACGATGGCAGTAGTAATAATAAAAAGTAAAATTAATAGAAGAAATGCTACAGAGAGGATTATTTTTTATCATTCTTAGTCCAGTACAAAAATTTATGAATATTTTTACTCTAGTAAAAAAGGAAAAAAAGTCTGCACATGGTTTCTTCCAACTTTTTTATCTCCAAGATACCCCCCCTCTAATGACAGTATCCTCCAAGGTTATGCTTCTAATTTAAAAAGAATTAGAAATATCTCTCTGATATTTCTGGCTTAATTTAAGTGAGATTAACATACAGACATCTCATCCATCATATATACTCCTTTTCCTTTTGCTTTGTACACAAAAGCCCTGCAAAAAAAAGGAAAGGACAACTAGAAGTAAATTAAAGTATCTTCTGAAAACAGTTGTACAGTGCTTGGAGATGTGGAAATTAAATTGTGCAAGGGCTTTGCTGAGTGCAAAAATGTACCATGTGGTGAGACACATCCTTAATAAAAGTCAGTCAGGGCTGGTATCCAAGTGTGCAAGGTGGAGAAAATTGCAAGGTGGTGTTGCTGTCTCTGGGACAGAGCGGAGCCCAGCAAATTAAGGAAAATTCCATGCAGTAAGGAACAACCTAGCCTGGCCAAACCCAGGTCTTTCCCCTTTTGTGCAGCATAGAATTCTAACTTTCCATTCTTCTGGGTTCTTTATTGCAACTTTTCTTTGGGTCAGAGCTATCAAATACTTCAAACTTGTGCATTTGAAGAAACGGAATTGTTTCCACCCTTAACACTTAACTGTTTTCTTTCTCTTCTTTCATCCAGGCTGGATGATTGATGCTGACAGTCGGCCAAAATTCAAGGAGCTGGCTGCTGAATTCTCTAGAATGGCTCGAGACCCTCAGAGATACCTGGTAATTCAGGTGAGCAACCCTGCAGTATCACAGGGGTGGGTGGGAAAACCAAGTTTTTCTGCAGCACCCAACTGTTAGGGGTGTTGGCTTTGAATGTTTTGAAGTGCAAGGTGCTCTTGAGCCTAAAGCAAACAGTGACCATGGCGTTATACAAGCATGGAGTAGAACGGGCAGTGTCAGTATCTCAAAAATAATGATATGAATAATACAACACTCTGAAATTCATTCCCCAAGCTTGTGTTCATGAGCACATATACAGTTTCTGCCTTCACAAGCTGCTCAGTGCTTTGCATTCCCTCATGAACAAATTACAAATTTCATCCATTGGCAGACAGTGGATCTATTTTTAGACCAAGAACTTCCTTGGTTCTAAACTTGATTAGGATTAGTCTTTTCCCTGCACTGCTGAGGTCACAAGCAGGATTCTTTTCACAGCCTAAACATGAAAGTTTCTTAGAACGCAGAGAGTTGTATCACACTGGTACCTCTAATGCTAAGGAGGAGCTTCCCTATCTGTTCTCCTCTGAGCCCCTCTGAGGGCTCTCGAGGCTTCACATCCCTGTGGCAGGGTTGTGAAGGTTTCATCCTTCATGGGTTCATCTCCTGAAACTGCCCTATGGCAGCTGGTGAGTACAGGTAGCTGGAGCTGTGTGTGCAGGAATGTGTCCTTCCCTAATTCTGTGGCAGCCTAGACCTGTGTGTGTGTTTATTGCAGCTCAACTCCAGCCACAGAAAGTATAAAGTTCTCAGGTAAGGACCCACTGTGTGAACAGTTCAAAGGAGAATGAAAACTTAAAGGTGAGGTGATGGTGTGTCTTGGTTTGGAAAGATAGGTGTCTGCTAAGGAAGGCAGGAGCCTCCCCTGAAATGGAAAATGTAAACCCTGTCCCTCCAAATTATTATAATTTTGAAATTAAGGGTCTCTGAGGCAAAGATATGGGAATAGGAATAACAGTTCTCTGTTAAAGAAGAAAATAAAAATAACGTAAAAAATGCAGTAATACAAAACATCAGTGCCGAGTCAGAACATGCCCTGACCCCCTGTGTGTCAGGGTGGTGGCACAGTCCCATTCCATGGTGGCTCAGCCCTCCTGCAGTGCCAGCTGTGGTTCTGCTGGAACAGGGATCCTGGACAAGGGTGGAGTTTTCCTCTGAATCTCCAGGGGTGTGGAGATGGGCCTGGTCTTCCTCTGGGAATGCAGTGGAAAAGGCTCCTGTGGTGTTCCCAGTGTCAGATTGTATCCAGGTGGGAATGCTTGGCTCCTCCCCCTGGGCAGAGCATCTGCCAATGGGATGATGGAATTTGATCAGCCATGCAGGGACACTCCTTGGCGATGAACAGAAGAGATCGCCTGGAGGGAGGATTGGTTGTGGGGGAGATAAAGAAAACTGCCCCATGAACAGAAGAGAACTGTCCCAGCTCTGACAGATGGTGATAGAATGCACAGCCCCAGGCGCATCTTGTACCCTAAGACATGGTGAAACACCAGAGACCAGAGCATGGGATAGTTTGATCCAGGGAATGATATTCTCATGCTCTGTCTCATGGTGTATCTGCTCCATTTCATGGAGCACAGGGCAGAGGTGCACTGAGCTGATCCTCAGCTCCACACTGACGTAAGCATTCCTCCTCCAGAAGGAAAGCCTCCAGAAGTACAGCCAGTGCCACTTCATGTGTCCCAAATGGGTCCAGTGCCAGTCCCACAGTGTGGTGTTTGATTTCACTGGGTAGAGCTGCCAGCTGACTTGTGGTGCATTCCTGCACACCATGAATCATCCTGCCCCCCTTCAGCTTCAGCACAAGGGAAATATGGTTGGAAAGTGAAATATGGGTCAAGAGGAATTTTGGTGCTGAATGAGGAATTCCTCTTGCAGTATTCCCCACTGTGGTAAATTGTAAGTTCAGCTGATTCTGGAAAAACCGTTCTGAATAAATGACTTTATGCTAGACAGGACGTGTTTCCTTATTCCAAAGAATGAGAACGAGAATAAGAATATCCTCTTTCCTCCATTTCTGTCCCTGCCCTTCCCTCCCCTGTGTTGCAAGGTCTGGTGGGTGTTTCACCCTCTCCCCAGTGCTCCTTGCAGACAGTGTGAGCTCCAGGAGGACAAAGCAGCATCACTGCATTGCACTGGTGCCTCTGCCATCAGCACTCCCCTCCCTCCCTCCCAGGTGCAATCCACAATGACAGAGCTGCTGTTGAGCTTTTAAATGGGTCTGTGTGCACGCCACAACACAGCCATCATCATTCCCTGCTGGATTCCACATGGGCCATAATAATTCTTGAGGACTGGGAGGCCACTGTCCAGCCAGCCAGTGGAGTTTAGCAGTGTTTCTATAGGGTAATAGGTGTTTGTGGCATGGGCTGCCTTTTGTGGTGTTTTGTGGCACCAACAAAGAGCAGCCAGGATTTCCCTCTCCAGTTCCTAGGTGTTATTTCAAGGCACTGTTGTTCCCTGGTTTGGTTTTTGTTGTTTTCAGCTCTCTTACATTCTGCAGAACTTTCCGTACAGATAAGAGAGAAATTTACCCTCTAAATCCCTTAAAGTACAAATTTTTTAACAAAAAAACAAACATCCAGACACAACAGTTTCCTTGCTCATTCCCCACCCCTCCCTATTTGAGGCTAAATAGCTGAGATATTTCACAAAATATGTCAGAACTTGGGTCAGAAACTGATCTTGTATGGGAAAAAGAGAGAAGAAAGAATAAAAGCTCAATCACAAGAATGCCAAAAGCATGGTTTTGTTTGATTCATACAGTTACTCGTTTTTGTCATCATATTCCCAGTTAAAAAAAAAAAAAAAAAAAAAAAAAAAAAAAAAAAAAAAACCAAAAACAACACAAAAAAACCAAGCAACAAAACAAACCCACAAATTATGTGGATGTAGTGCTTTTGAACAAACAAAGCAGCATGTGTGGTCCCTGCAGCCTGGCTGCCAGGGCAGTAGGGAGGCTAAAATTGTCTTTTTGGGAAGTTAATCCATCTTTTGATGTTTTTCCTCTCTCAATACAATCTGTTCAGGGAGATGATCGTATGAAGCTCCCAAGCCCAAATGACAGCAAGTTCTTCCAAAATCTTCTTGACGAGGAAGACCTGGAAGATATGATGGATGCTGAAGAGTATCTTGTTCCTCAAGCCTTCAACATTCCTCCTCCCATCTACACCTCCAGGACAAGAATTGATTCCAACAGGGTAAGAGCAAGCTCTGGCAGAAAATATTGGTTATTATAAAAGCACAGGTGGAGATTTAAGTACACCAGACAAACAGAGGCCAGTACTGCCTTGGGAATTACAAGCTCCCATTGTAAGGAGAGTGGCTATAAAAATGTTGTCACTGGGCTCCCTGTTCATTGTGCCTCAGTGAATTCTAAATTAATAGCCCAGCCTTGAGTGAACAAAGGCTCAGCTTGAGCTGCCTGTCCTGAAAGCACAGCTGAGGCTCCCGAAGTCAAGCAGTGCTGCATCTGCGCTGTGACGTGGCCAGGAAGTGCACAGCCCTGGTGCTGCCATCCTGTTCTCTTGGCATTGAAGTAACTGAGGGCAGCTGGAATATGCAGATAATGTAGCTTTTGTGAATGGAGGCAGATTTCCAAGCCAGCCCCTTTTCCTGTTTGCATCTGATGCTTTCATAGCCCCCTTTCCCAAATGTGTGTTTGTGCTGAGCACATGGCAGATGCTGGCAGGCTGAGCTGTGCACCCTCCCTGTCAGGGGAGGAGATGCTCTCATTGCACATGGGGACTTGAGGCACAGAGAGTGCTCAGAGGAATTCAGCTCACAGAACTCCAACCATCTAAGGGAGAGGGATACAATCTGAGGTCTTCCCCCAGACTTCATTTCATGGTACTGGAGCAGCATGGGTGAACACTGCTGCCTACCTGGGGCATTTCCAGTGGGATAAGTTCCTTTCTGGAGGTGTCTTTCTCTACCCACTAATTCCTGACAGCTGCAGAGCAGTGTCTGCCCTGCTGTGGGAGCTCTGGGGTGTTGAATCCTGTTCCATATGTCTGTGCCCTGCTGCAGGTGAGGAGCTAAGTCAGATGTCTGGAGTCTGTTTTCCCTCCTCTGCCTGTTCCTGTGCTTGGCTCCAGCCCTTCAACATTTCACTTGCTGCCCCTTCTCATATAACTGAGAGATGGTGAAATGCATTACTAATGTGAGGGCATTCACACAGGCATCAGGTGTGTTTTAACTAGAGACTTGCTTTCTCTGCAGCCTCCTTTTGGTCCAGAATCACAGTTTAAATACTAAGTATAGTCCCTTTGAAATGCTGCTGTTTATTCCTCATGATTTAGACACCTTTTGGACTCCTTAGCTGAGGTGGTTCCAAATTCATACCCTGAGAACAGCATGTGGGAAAAGGTGAGTGAAAGAGCCAAGTGTATAACCTGAGCCAGTGTCCATGCCTTGGCCATACCTGCAGGAAGCTCTTTACCCTCTCCTGAGGAAATCAGAGCTTTCTGGGAGTAAGGAAGACAAAATCTGATCTTAATAGTCAGTTTGGAAGGAAATTGGTGCTGTTTTAAAGGCAAGGAAACTGGAGATGTCTGGATTCATGTAGCATTTCTCTTGCATCACTGAATGACAGTGAAGTAGGGACAATGCACAATTTAACAATAAGAGAGAAACTTTCTTTTTGTGGCTGCAAGAGTGAATTGATGGTGATCTGAAATAAGTCAGCTTTACTACCAGCTGTCTCTGGAGGGGTTGTTTCCTTTCCTGCCGACTTCTGAGGAAAGAAGAGAAGGACAGCAGTTACCTTTGGAAGGTGCTTATTGTCACAGGGATGTAAATCACTGGAGCTCCGTTTGCCACAGTGGAGTACTGCCACTTAAACCAACACGGGGCTGAGAGGGCAGGCTCTGACACAGTGGCTTTGTTATATTCATCCCACTCCCATATTTGCTGGAAACACTGGGACACATTTAAAAGATGAAAGGCTTAGTAGAAAAATGTACTTGCTTTTTCAACAGCTCCCTTTGCCCTCTGTCTTTGGTACCAGCGCAGCTGAGGAGCCCACTAGAGCTGAGGGGATTCCAAAAAAAATCCGAGAGTTAATATTCTGAAAGATTTATTTACAGCATGTTATTTGGGCAGGCCAGCATGGTCACTGGGATATTCATGGAATGAAAACACAGGCATTTATTTCTAATATTATCATTAGTAGTGGTGGTGTTATTACATGAAATTTTAAATAACTTTCACAAAGCCTTTTCAAAGCACACCATTTCAGCTGCCTGCACACATGTGATTTTGAGCTCAGCAGAGCTGCAGAAGAAGACCCCAGGCCTTATTTTTGCCATACAGAGAAACTCCATCACATTCTTGACGTGACATCTCCTTTCCTCAGCTCACAATTTCCCATCTTGGTTTGAAACTGTGATCTTGTACCACTAAAGACAGTGGGAGCTTTGCTTTGCAATTCAATTTAATGACAGTAGCAAGACTACATGCTCGTTTCAGTAACTTGCTGGGAGCTTTTCTCTGGCATTACAATCTAACATTTAAACAAAGCTGGAATTACCTTTTGCCAAAAGTTTGCAGGTTATGAGCCAAGTTGTCTGACCCAGATCAGACAGAGAGGTCAGAGAGGGCTGAGCTGGAAGCCCTGCACTCCTGGTTTCCTTTGCAGAGGTGTTTTCTGGAGGTAGCATATGTGTGCAGAAAGCCACATACATTTCTTTTGCCTTTGTGAAGCAGTCAGTTTCTCAGTACACTCACTATTCTTTTAGTGAAGATTGATTTAAACATAACACAATCACCCCTTTAAGGTAATAGTGCATCTGCTGTGCATAGCTCAGTACAGATGGATGTCAGCTACAGGAATCACATGGAACTGAAATGCTGTCAGAGCTCTCTATCTGCACTTGTCTGATTCTGTCTTGGTGTTTCCTTTGGATAGTCTCTGATTTATGCTTGTTTAGCATAGTGCATATTGATATTGCACAAACTCATTGTGGTGCTGCTGCAGCCATGGACACCAAATGAAAGGATACAGCTGAGGTAGTTTGTGTTCACTGTGTCTGGCAAATTGCATTTTATGGGGAGATTGTGAGGCAGCTTGGTGAAGTAAAACACACAGACAAGAGCTACATGGTCTCCATGACATTTTCAGGGAATGAGAAGCATGCTGTATGTCCCACCTTAGCTGTTCCAGTGGCAGGTTTAGTGGCCAAGGAGTCCATCAGGGCACCGTGCTCCTTCTGTGTGCTGGCAGTGTTGGTTGAATGTTGCAGCAGCACAGCTCCATGGGGACAGAGGCAGGCAGGAGGAAAGCAAGCAGGTCACAAACCTCCTCACACGTAGGCTTTGAAGTCAAGGAATATCATCATTGCTGCTGGTAATGAAGGGATGGGACTGTTTTTGGGCTAAGAACCATTTCTTGCTCAGATAAACACCAGTCTCAGAGGCCAGGAGATTTTAAGGGAGCAAGCAGTCAGCCACAGCTCAAAGCAGTCACAAGTTCTTTGTTACTAGACAATATATAACTTTCTAATCTAATGAACAGTTGCCACAAGGTGTATTTTGCTTTTCTAACCTATCACCTTTACTTATTCTTACTGCACTGTGGATACTTTTGTCTAACAGGCTTTTGTTACACTTACACTCATATGGTTCAATTATAACTTCTAAACTCTTAGAAGTTAGAACTTGTACTTACAGCACTCTCTAAGAACTATAAGTACAAGAAAACTCTACAGAGTTCTTAGACCTCTCTTCTACTCTGTACAACCACACCTCTGCATTATAAACCCTTCACTATCTTATCAATACAGTTTCTTACTTAAGGCATATTCTTACTTACAGCTATAGCAACATAAATTTATGATTGTTCTACTTAATGTCTGTGTACTTTATTTTTGCATCAATCCAAGCTCCTTACAAGGCTGCAGATTAAACTCTTCAGTGTCTGTAGATATTTCTGTTTTTCTGATTCCCACCAAGGAATAAAGGAAGAACAGGAGCATTTATTTTCTCAGGAAAGCCCTGTGGTGGTCTCAGGTCTAAATCCTTGCAGCTTCTTGGTGGGAGAGGCAGCACTGGAGGAGACTTGTGTAAAACACTCCCACCCATGGGAAGAAAAGTGCTATTTGGGTGTGCATTAACACCTGCAGTGCTGCAGCCCCTGGATAGAAGACTGGGGAGAGGGAAGGCTTCTGGGAAGTTGCCAGCTCCCCAGGAAGTCTCACATCCTTCCTCCTCCAGGGGTTGCACAGATTTATGAAGCTGCAAGGCTCAGACACAGCTCCAGCATTTCCATCACATCCCTGCTGGCATGTCCTTGGGACCTACCTGTGCTGCTGGGAGCAGAGCCCTGCACAGGCTCTGACACTGGCCTCTCTTGTGAGGTCCACTCTGAGACTGCTGCAGCTTTTAAATAAAAATTAGCATCCTAAGCTAAATTGAATTCTTTCATTGAATCTGAAACTCTTCAGCTGCAATTTTGTCTCTGCCTTTTTCCAGTTTTTATTTTCCACTGTCCAGAGATACTCTAGAAAAATAGAGTTTTAGAAGCTCTGTGCTTCTGAGAGATAAGCTGAATCCTCAGCAGTGTTTCCATGAGCACAGGACCCCAGCTAGTGCTCAAGTGTCCTGCATTCCCATCCATTAGAGGATTCATTCAGGTATTTGTAATGAGTGCTGTCCTGTGTGTGCAGAGATAATGCTAATACAGCAAGCACTCTGTGTGCCCCACGATGCTTTTTGCTCTAATCCTTGGCTAATTCCTGATGGAAACTGTCTCTACTGTTTATTGATGCTGTCCCTGTAATTTTATTCCATGCACTGTACATCATGGAAGCACCTGCCAACCCTGCAATTAAATATGAAGCAATTTTTTTCTTTTTCAGAGATGTCTAATCCATATGCCCATGGAGACTATCCTGCTTGGCTAAAGCAGAGTGTGGGACATTGGGAGCCAGTTTTCAGTTCTCTGAGCAGGACCTGGTGTGCCACTGCTGCAGTCCTGGCGTGGCCTTAGGTCTGGTAGTGCAGCATCCTTGCCCCTTGGCAAAGCCAGGAGGGACTTGTGGTTTGACCATGGTTCCTCTTGTGTCCAGGGCGGAGCAGCACCTGCTCCCCATTTCTTTTCCTGTAGGAGAAGGAAATGAGGTGTCCCTGCCCAAGTCATTTCTACAGGTGTGTCCTGGCCATATGGGACTGATGGCAGCAAAACTGCTTCGTCTTGAAGTTA